CTAAAACTGCAGAACAAATAAGAGATGTCAGTTATCATATTCTTCAATTGTAGATGCATATGTTTTTGGTGTATTACGCATTCTAAGCTCTTTAGATGAATTAGTTGTTAGTAGATTGTACACTCTAAACCGCCGTAGATGGTAGATCTGATTTACTACCCGATTTATCCAATTTTTGAAATTACTATTTCAAACATTTTTTGAATCTAAAAATATTTTTCATATATTCACATGCTACTCTATTTCATATTGTATATTTTTCCACAATTTTTTACCTTGTAAATTTTTTACTTTGAATTTTTATATACAAAAAGGGTAGTGAAGGTCCAAAAGTGCCAAAATTTGATTTTATTCTAAGGGGACAATAGTTGTGTTTTTTGGTTCCCTTTTGCCAAATTTCCCTATTTTTAATTATTCCACTAAATATATTTTCAACCAATCAGATGTCACTGTTTTATAGCATATTATTTACGTTTGTTAAAGAATCTAAGAATTGATTATGAATGCGATATTGTTAAGATCCTCTGGTTTTATTTTGAAATTATGTGACTGGCAATTAAGATTATTTTTCTTTGAAAAAATCATTTTCCACTTGAAATATCACATTTATTATATTTACAATATTTACAATATGCTAATTATGAATTATCTAATATATTTATGAAATGAGGATCCGGATGAAAATCTATGAAATGTGCCACCAAAATTTGGTAAAAACCTATAGGATTTCACTGTTTTTTTTTTCATTTTTTGTTCCTAATAAAAAAAATAATTTTTAAAATCTTTTAATACCAGCAATAATTAACTTTATAAATAAAGATTTTTAACTTATAATACTAAAATCATATTAATGTCATTCTAATTTCTAAGAATAAAATATTAAAGTTACTTAATAATTATTGTGTATGGGTTAATGGTTTTATGATTATAGAGTTTTATAAGTTATTACATGCAAAACTTGATAATAGGTTGGATTAATATTAATATATTAACTAATGTATATTATAAAAACACTAGGATGAACTTTGACTACTGTGAAAGAATTATAAAATACAGATGATCTCATTACAGTTTTAGTTTATTAGAAATATAACTAAAACATAGGAAAATAAATTAAATCAATGTTAAAAACAAATATTTATATATATTACTCCTCCCATATATAAATGTTTGATGTTATGTACATTTCACACATATTAAAAGTAAAAGAAATAAATGACTAATTTTTTTTTTTGATTTACCAATGTTTCACTTTTTATTTTTTACTTTGTAATACTTAGAATATTCTATAATTTTAAGTGAATATTTACAACAATTTTAATATGATAATAATCTTAATATTTTACCTATTAAATTTATCATTACAAAAATTAAATAAGTTAGTTAAACTAAAATTAGGACTTCGAATAAATGTTTACAAATATCTGAACGGTTCATATATCTATTAAACTGAAAAAAACAAGAACTAAATGGATACATATTAAAAATATATTTATATATATAAATATTAGTTATATTAAGTTTAAAAATTATTAAATATTCCAAAATATTATTTATAACAAATTAGCCAAAATCTGGATTACCATATTATTTTTATCCAATATTTAATAATTATTTTGAATTTCGCGATAAAAACAATTACCTGAATATTTTTCGATCTTTAAATTTATTAGAGTTATCCAATATTTTGTACAAAAAATCTTAAAATATAATTTTAGCCAAATTATTTGAAATTATCCCAAAAATGGGAACTGAACCAAAAACAATTACTCTAAATTGTATCAAATTTTTAATAATGTTATCCAAACCACACTGAAACAAAGATAGCCAAACTTAAACTAAACTGATAAATAACAATACAGTACTTTCATATCTTTTGAACCGAAAAACTGAAAACTACACATGAACTAAAACCAACCAAAAACAAAGAAAAAACAAACTACTGAACCGAAAATTAAACATTCATACCTAAACATATTAGTATACAAATGGACGGATTAACAAAATTATTAAAAAAAATTAATCCCGCGCTTTGAAAGTGCGGGTCAAAATCTAGTAAAACAATTAAAGAATCAATGAAAATTCATGTATGTCATAACAGAAACTAATCACAGTCTTCTTTTCCTAATTCCTTTTCAGTCAAATTATATTTCATAGAAGATTGAATTCCATTTCTTTTTATACAAAAAAATCTGGACAAAGTTGAGTTTCATCTATTTAAACAGCTCTTTTAGATATTATAATTTAATACATAAATGTGTTTACCTTTTTCACAAGGATAGTTTTTCACAGTGAGAATAACTAACTCATGTTTTTGATAGTTATATTCCGTGAAGCAAATCTTTGATCCTCCATTCTTTTATGGAAAATTAAGCTAAAAACAGAACTGATAAAATCTCAACTTTAATAGTATAGAACGGATTAAGGAAAAGTGTTTTCTTGGAAAAGAAGAATGGAAGTTAAGAAAAAGATCTTTGCCACACTCTACCTAAATTAAGATAACAAAGAAGCGAAACTGATTTTTTTTTCAAGAAAAAGAGGATTGTTATATAGGAATCAGCAGTTTACTTTACGAGAAACTGTGAGAGTTGATAAAAAAAAATCAGAACGTGTGAAAAGTCAAAGTAATTGTTTGAGAACAAAAAGGATTTTTTTTTTTTTTTACAGTTACAGAAGCATTTGAAATTAAAAGAACATTTTGTTTAAATTTTTTGTAAATCAATGACACGTATCAAAATTCTATTGGTTATTTTGTGCTTTATTAAATAAGGGATGTCGAATCAACTCTTTTATAGCTCAAAGAGAAACCAACCATTTGTTTACTTGCAATTAATTGGTAACTATTTTCTTTAGGTACCAAAAAAATTTCATAAAACAAAAGTTATTCTTGTGCAGCAGTATTGGTTGAAGATTTCACTTCACAAAGACATAGTTTTACAACTAAAATTGTTAGAGCAACCCCGTTAAGGATTCAAACGCAAAGTCCACCCAGATTTCAAAAAAAAATATTATAATAATCATGGGTCCCATATTTGTGATGAACATGTCTCCTACAGACTCTTCCATGTGATCACGCCACGTGGCGGTCCGCGATTAATCCGGTTATTTAATTGAAAATAAAATATCAAATGGAAAAAAATAATAATAAATAATGAAAACATATGAATCCCAAAAGAGAAGTCACCAATGGGGGTGCTCTTAGAGTTTTTTAAGTTTGTTTGCAATTTATTTAAATTTTTTATTAAAATGAGCATAGTTTGGGTAGTAAGATGAGCACATATATTAGAATGAGAAAAATAATTAGTTGAAATATTAAACCTATATCAAATCAGTTTGGGTATTAAAAATCGTAAGAAAAATGTAGCTGAAGTATTTTATAAGATTTTCTCTTTATTATTTGGAATGTGAAATTTGTTTCTCTTCTGCCACTTATTTTATGTTATTTTAAAACATGATTAAGATTTAAACTCTAGAAAATGATTACCATAACTAACACACCAAAAGGATGAGAAACACATGTTCTTCTTCTTCTTTGCCATGTACTCTGCATATTTAATATTTGGTGTAATGTTGAGTTTTTTTTATTAAATGGGTATTGAATTATACATTTTCAAATTAGAACTTTTTCTATTTTTTTTTCAAATTTTCATTTTCAAATTCATTTTTTAAAACTATTTTAATATTTTTTAAAACATAAGTAACCAGACGCTTGTCGTCTGGTGGAAAAGAACTCACATCTGTTACATAGATCTGAATCCCAGCCACCGTCGATTAAAATGGGTGAAGCCCTTGAAGCTACCTACCATAGGACTTTTAGTTTCTTGGTTGTGTTCTATATTGGAACACCATTTACAGGCATAAGGTCATCAGATCAGACAATATAGCGAAAGAATTGGTGAGAGTCCCTATTGCTGCGTTCAAAAACGAAAGCTCATTGTCTTAGTTACCTTATGGAGTTTCATGAGTTTGACTCACATTATTTCAGAAGTACTAGTAAACATCAAGGTCATCACACTCACATATTGAAGTCAGTGTTGCATATCATCTCATTAATGAATTTAATTCTATTACAAAATTTTGACTTTTTTGCCAAATACAAATGATTATTTTCTCTTTTAAAAATTTGGATAAAACAAAAAAATAAAAATGTAAATCAACTTGTAACTCTTAAATATATATTTTAAAAAAATATCCTCAAGATATTATGTCATTTGTAAACTCATTTCCTCAGTCATGAAAGACTCGTCCGGCTTGCGTGCAGCTGCTAATCATGAGCTAATATATATATATATATATATATATATATATATATATATATATATATATATATCTCTATCATCTCTATTAAATCCCTAAAATTTTGTCCCTCAACGAACATCGCCCGTAGTAATGCAATTCTTTTCTTTTCATTGTGGTGTTTTCATTTTTCAAATTTTGCTTTACTTTATACGGTGATCAATCGGGAAAACATAAATCTCTAGCTGAGTACATTTGTTGTAATCATGAGAGCTTCAAAGTTGTGAGCATCCTAGCTTTCGTACTGCTTATTGTTTGCTACTACATGGCTTCTACAATAACAAACTTTGTTCCCAAATGTGAAATTAATCTCAAAGTACCTAAACAGTCCAGGAAAACTCATCCTCTATACTAATAAGTGAGATCACTAAGTGATTTTTAATATTATGATTTAGTTTTTGTATGTGAAAATAAATGCTTATTTTTAAGAATATATAGAGGATCGTCAAAAGGTTTCATAATACAAAAAAAAGTGAATTTGCCGCCAAAAGATCCAGTCAAGCCTCACTCTGTTCTTATTGTTCCCAGTTTCTATCTCTAATAAAGTGAAAAGATTAGCTAGACTTGATCTTTTCTAATTTTACATACAAAAGATCAAAGCTTTCTATTTTTGAATCTCCCCAGCCAAAAACCTTATGTATAATCCCCAGGTAGATTTTTGTTTTAGCGTCTTAAAGATAGCAACAGTTCAAGGCTCCCCTTATTCATATAACAGTACCGTCTTGAATTGTAGCCTTTTCAACTACCACAGTGATTCCAGATCGAATGTAGAATCCTTCCTCTGGCCTATCCGCTTCTTGTACATCCTGCAACCATTGAAAACAAAACGTCTTTGAAATTCTTTCTCTTAACACTCAGAAAACCAGGTGGAAAAAAAAAGAAACTCTCTCAAAGAAAGCTTACACCTTCGTTCATAATGATCACGTTTTTACCAATCTGGCATTCTTGTCAATGATGAATTTCCTGTATAAATCACCAAAAAAATACTTTTCATTTCAGAAAAATCTGATTTGATGTTTGAAGAGGTTTTGTCAAAACTAACCTGATCTTTGTGTCTTTACCAATACCAGTTGGAACCTTGCCTTTTGCTAATAGCGATGCTATCTCACATTCAGTTTGGTAATAATCTGCACCTAACATCAATGTATCCTGCAACAACAAAAAGAACCAGATTCAGAACGATATTCAATTGATTTTCAATAAACTGAAGAGAGATTCGAAGATCTACACCTGAAGCTCAACTCCATAGTCTAGACGTGATCTTTCTCTAATGATAGAGCGTTGGGCGCTGCATTCTCTCAGGAAACATCCATGTGAGATGATCGAATATACCATCAACATAATGATTAGAGACGAACCATCATACAAGATAAGCAAATGATGACCAGATAAATAGCCATTAAAAAAGAAGAGATTTGTCAGAGACACATACACGGCATTTCTCAGTTTTGGTTGGGGGGAGCAACCGTGGAGAAGTGTAGAACGGTGTGTCTGGATCATAGAACTCAAACTTTCGTTTCTGGAAAAATAAAGAGAACAAAAGGTTGAGAAAATGGATCCAAGAGATCAAGAAGATTGGAGTGTGTATTCTCTGAGAGATTCTAACCTCCTCAGCAAAAGCTAAGTTAGCCTCATAGAATATCTTCCCAGTAATCTCTGAATATGTATCCCTATCCATGAAACTGTTTTGTTATTCATTGTCCTCAAATGAATAACAAAACTTTTTGTTTACAAATCTTACTTGAACATCGTGATCTCTTATGGCAGCAGGAATAAATTCAGATCCAAAGTCATTGGAAGTTGGATACCGTTGTGCCAGAAGATCCAGCAAAGCTTTGGTTTTGAAACAATAAACTCCCATTGATGTAATGAATGGAGAATCTGTAGCTTCTTCACGAGACAGTCCAAGCATTGTTGTGTCCGTTTCCTGTCAATAAACATTCTTGAAATACTTTGTGACTCTTCTACAAAGTCAAATGTGTTGTGAGAATTAGAGATATACATTACCATTGATTTCAGATCAATTCCCGGTTGTTTCTCAGGGAAACTGTGTTGCCCACCTCTATCAATCTTCACTAAACCAAAGTTCGATGCACAGCTGAAGAATTCACAAAAGACCGGTCTTAAGAACATCAACTTTATGATACAAAACGGTGTGAAAAGAGATTCAAGAAACAACTAACCTTTCACTGACTAGTGCGCAGGAAAGAGTAACATCAGCGTTACTATCTACATGAGACTGTAACAACCATATCTACTTAGCAAAAAAAACGATAAAGAGGGTTTTTAAGATGATGATGATGAATTAGATAAAAAAAAGTACCTGAACAAATTCCATGTAGCAAAAGGATCTCGTGAAATGGAGATTAAGAAGTGGGAGAGACATATTGATCGAAGAAACGAAAGGGGAAGAGACAAAAGGATCTCGTGAAATTTAGGATTTTCTTTTCTAATGGGCTAAATGGGCCAAAGATATAAAAACTAATGGACTCAAAAAAGTAAAACCCAAACTGAAAATCAATCGCTGACATGGCGGAACGAAATGTTATGATTGGCTGATTATTTTAAGTGACGTGAACAGTCTATATGGGAATCATATCCTCTTTTAATATTGTTAGATATGATATATTTATATATACATACATATATATGTAATTATGATGGCTGATACCGAAAAAAATATATACACCGATAAAACCTTGAAGAAGTAAGAAGAACACTTATGGCCATATTTGTGGCAATTCTCAGGATCTCCAAGTAGACCTCATTTGTCTTTAGTACAAACAGCTGGGGTTATGATGGATGGTATATTTCCCAGATTCACTGTTTTGGGTTTCGTTAATATCATATCATTAAGCAAATAAAACATAAATAGAATCTGAATATTCAGACATGATTTTTAAGTTTATGTTACTAACATCACAACAACAAACAATGAGACCACAATAATGAGACATGAGGAGGCATAGCGAGAATAGCAACCTAACTTCTCTTTTTTTTTCTGAATATCAACCCAAATTAATAATCAACCATTGATGAATTTGAGCAGAACAATAACTGGCATGAACGACCCAGGAGCAAAAATCTAAACTCCTGCTGGAAAACCGCAGGCCAGGTAACTTATATTTTCACCAAACTTTCAATTGTTACTCTATCAGCTAAAATGTTTCTAATGTGCGGAGGACTAAACACATAGACCACAATCTTACAGAAAAACTAAATTAAAGTTGAGTGGTATATTAGATTTATTAATAAAAAGAGAGAAATTAAGTAATAACCAACGTTGTTCAAATATTTCTGAGCACCATGACCAAGAAGATTGACTCCATCAAGAGCGATATAAAATCCATTTGTCGTTATCAGCAGAATCTCCATCACTAGTTTTGATGAAGTTATGAACATATGCAAAAGTTTCACCAGCTCTAGTTGCAATTTTCCCCCTAAAACTAATACCTGCAAAGATAACATATACTCATCATCTCAGTTGTTGCATATGCATTTAAGCAGAATAAACAATGAATAGTAGAGCTGCGAAAAAACAAAGCTTGAACATACTCTATACCTGAATATTTACGTAAATCTTATTCTCAATATGATTATAGTGAATGTACTCCTTAAATAATCTGAAGATCTACAACAAAGTGAAAACGCTTTAGAATTGTCAAAATATAATTAGAGTGGTCAAAGTAAGGAAAAGTTTTGGTGTTCTTCTGCTGCAGAAAGTGGACAATCACACCTTAAACGGTACCAGAAGCTTCAAAGTTATTACAGATTCCATATTCCAGACCTTACAAAGATGATATGAACACCCTAACTTTGATTAACAGCGGGAAAACCAACTCATTCAAAAAATAATAGAAGAAGAATATGTACCTTCGAGACTAAACTCAACATCTTCACAACTCAAGTCCCTGGCGATTCTAACCACACTCATGGCAATCTCAACTCCAATTTAATTGCCATCGGCTGTTGTGTTTGTTTGGAGTTTGTGGATTGTGCATGAGCAAAGATTTGGAGTAGGAGTTGATATAAGCCTAGAAAGGAGGGTGCCATGTAACAGTGCTTACAGAGAACCAATACGTTGATGACGAAGTGAAAGAGTCGAGTTTGATCTATGCATCTGAGATGAGAATTTAGGAACCTGGGCTTGACATGGAATCTGAGATGAGATAACTCCAAGGAAATAAAAATGACACTTAGAATCAAAAATGTCAAAAAACCTGCATAAATAGGGATTTTTGCATAAGCCTCATCTCTGTAGAATGAAGCCGAGCTTTTACTGTAATTGTCAGTGGTACACATAGTTTCTTAGAAATTATTTTATTTTGTATCCGTTTTGTATAGGGAAAAAGGGAAGTCAAAGAAAGATCTATGATTTCTGTTTTGAAGAAGGCAATAATGGCTGAAGTTAATGGAATAAAAACTTGGAACAACTAAGAAGTGGGATTGAGAAAATAGAAAGACAACGAAGAGAGAGTAACCTGGCACCTTACAAGAATTTGATTGATCCGAATTAATTTGTCAACGTGACATGCTTCTCCTTGTAGTATTAAGCCCTTTTAGTATTGTAAAATGTCAATCTAGTTCAGTGTACTGGTTATTGAGTCTGTAAACCAGATGTTAACCGGAGTCTAGTTACAATATAATGTAACTTGTAACATAACGGTCAATGACGAGAAACACTTAATCATTTTGAGCTCGTCTTCTTCAGATTTGTTATTATGGTATCAGAGCAACGAGAATCAAATTCTCATTCGATCCGATCAGTTGATTTTCTCCCTTCTTTTGACCTTGAATGATCGATGATTTTCTTGATCGTTTCTTCTCCGTGAATAACTGATTCGTAGATCTTTTTTTTTTTAAATGAATTTTAAGCTTTGGTAATCTAAAATGGTGATCGGAACAAAGGCTAGTCGTTGTCTTGACCGAGCAACGACTTCGGCGCGTAGATCTACCATTCAGGAAATTCCATCACCAGATCCACCTACGCCTTATGTTTTACCTCCAGAATTGATAAACAACATCCGCTCTCCGTTCTATCTCAGGAAGATAATCTAGGTGTTGCGATCATCTCTAAGGTACTTGATGGCTCTAACTATGATGATAGGAAGATTTCTATGAATCTTGCCATAGATGCAAATAATAAGATACTGTTCATTGATGGATCATTAGTTAGGCCACTTGAATCTGATCAGAACTTTTGGATTTCGTCTCGTTGTAACACTATGGTGACATCTTGGATTCTCAACTCGTTTCTAAGCAGACCTATAAGAGTATTCTTCGTTTCAATGATGCGTCTGAAATTTAGAAAGATTTGGAGGCTCAATTTCATATCACTAATATTCCATGATCATATCAGCTTTCTCAACAAATATGGCCATTTTAACAAGAATCTATGGATCTTGCAACATATTATACTACACTGAAAACTCTTTGGGATGAATTAGATGGAGATGTGTGTGCTAAAATTTGTCACACCTGTGATTGTTGCTAGGCTTTAGGCAAACAAGCTGATCAAGCTAAGATTATCAAGTTCTTAGCTGGTCTAAATGAGTCCTATGCTGTCATTCACCCGGACACCCCGTGATTCACCACTCTCCGCCCAACCAGGACTCGACAAACCGCCATTCCAAACCAGCACGCCAAGCCGGCACTCGCCGAACCGGCACACAAAGCCGATACTCGCCAAACCGGCACACAAAGCCGATACTCGCCAAACCGACACATGCCAAACTAACATTTCGTCACACTACGATTCAGCCTCATGTCTCATCTAAGATGTCATAACGTTTACAATCTTACTAACTTCCAATCCTATCAGGATTCATTCTATCATCATTCATTCTTATAACCTTTTTGTCAAACCAACTGACTGGCCTCACTCTAGACGCCACCCGTTCCAGTGTCACACTCAATTCAACTTGCAAAACACATCACTCAGATTCAGGTTCGATACATTCATCTATCAACCTATTTTCAATTCTTTCTAGGAATCTAGCTCAATCAATACAATAGTGTCAAGCAATCACAAAAATCAATCAAACAACAATCAATCAGATCAACGCATGGCAGTGACAGTATGAGCGTTCTTATGAAATATGAATCATGCATCTAACATCCTGACATCTATTATGTTCTATTAACCTAACTGAAAACATGTCTAACCAATTATTATTTCAACACCAAACATGATATAAAAAACATGAGAACAAAGTGGGTTTGAAACACCTCTGCTCAACTAGATCTGATAGATCTGGTGATCTAGGGCAAGAAAACGAGAATATGGATCGATGGAAATCCAAAAGCTCTAATCAACACCTATCAGCCACCACCACCACTCTCGATCTCTGGCTTGGTCTTACAGCGAGGATAGAGAAACCGAGGCGAAGATGAGAGAGAGAAAGAAAAGAGAAGCGAGAGAGAGAGGAACAGAGAAAAGAAAAAGAAAATCTTGACAGCTAGGGTTTCATGTGTCTCTAGATCTCTGTAGGGCTCCGTTTTTGTTTTCGAATGAGAGAAAAGAAGATAAGGAGGCTGTCTTTTTATAAAAAAAAAAGTAAGGGCACTCTAGTTTTTCTCTAATGGGCCATAGACATGCTTCTTTCCCTTAGAAAACTTCTGGGTCTGGTTTTGGGATGTTTCAATTCCCCCTTGTTAATCAGAATTCACCTCAAATTCCAACCTCTAAACTTCAATCATAACATCCAAGACCCAAAATGAACACATACAATCACACAATCAAGGAAATCACACAAGACCATAATTAACTTTACTCTGAAACTAATTAAAAAACCCAACAAACAAATTAAGCTAAAGAAGAAATCCTGCAAGTAACTAGATCGGATAAGATCCATTATAAAAGTATAGATAGTTTGGTGAATTTGGAAGGCTGATCCATTAGGTTAGCACTAAGAGACTTTAACCTAGGCTCTAATACCAATTGTAAAATCCCGCTCTGAAACCAGGCTTAAGAGCATGGAGTTATGGCATGTGTCTAATCATTTTAGACCTACCAAAGTGTCGTGTTACTGGTCTTAGGAGTCATCAAACGCATAACCTTCTGTGATTTACCAACCCAACCATATCCATCAGTTCTACTCACAGTCCTGCACACAAGGAAAAGGAAAGGGAGGGCATGAATAAATGAGTTACTTAGTGAAGTGGTTCTAGACTAGTATCTCCGCATAAGCCCCTATATTCCTCAATGCAAAATGAGAACTGACAAGCCACTAACAATCAAGTAATCAACGTTGATATCAATTCCACAAAATTTAATGAACTCAGTTATCACCACATATAGATTTATTTAAGTGATCTAGACCTCTAATCCATGAGTGC